CAACGAAGACAACATTGTCACTCGGTCTATAGAAGAGATATCCAAAGGATTTCTGTGGGTAGCCGATGAATATACATCGCTCACTACGAGGTTCGAGCTTGTCGTGAGTTTCTCGTCTTACGAAAACTTCACAGCCCCAAACCTTGATATGTGCCAACGAGGGAGCTTTCCCTGTCCACATCTCGTGAGGTGTTTTGGCAACCTTCTTTGTGGGTACTAAATTAAGGATATGGGCGGCAGTCTCTAAGGCATACCCCCAGAATGAGATAGGTAGTGAAGCACGACTCATCATGGAACGAACCATGTCTAGCAAGGTTCGATTACGCCTCTCAGCTACACCATTCAATTGTGGTGTCCTAGGTGGCGTCAATTGTGAAACTATTCCACATTCCTTGAGGTAGTCGTGGAATTCAAGACTTAGGTACTCTCCACCTCGATCAGATCGAAGCATCTTGATTTTCCTGCCCAATTGATTCTCCACTTCTTGTTTAAACTCTTTGAACTTTTCAAAGGTTTCTGACTTGTGCTTGATTAAGTAGATATACCCATATCTGCTATAATCATCTGTGAAAGTCACATAGAAGCGATTTGCATCCCTTGTGGTGGATCTAAAGGGTCCACATACATCTGTATGTATGAGATCCAATAAACCCTCACCCCTCGCACAAGTGCCAGTGAAGGGTGACTTGGTCATCTTTCCAAGTAAACAAGATTCGCACGTGTCATCTTCCCTAAGGTCGAACGACTCCAACACTCCATCCTTTTGGAGTTGGGCTATGCGCTTCTTGTTGACATGTCCAAGACGACAATGCCACAAGGATGCTTTATCCATACCATTGGAAGAATCCATACACAACACATCATTTCCTAGGTTATCTACAACCATAACAGTTTCATAAATTCCATTACAAGGCATTGCTTCAAAATATAAAACACCATTTAGATAAGCATAAATCGAACCATTCTCATTATTAAACGAATATCTAAATCCTTGTCTAAATAAACCATGAAAAGAAATGATGTTTCTTGCCATATCTGGCGAGTAGCAACAATTATTTAATTCTAAATTCAAACCATTCCTAAGCTCTAAAGAATACACTCCAATCTTGGTGACAGGCGACGTTCTTCTGTTTCCCATGATCAGATTTATTCTTCCAAGCTCCACATCCCTATTTCTTCCTAGTCCCTGCAAATCAGAACAAATGTGGTAACCACACCTGTATCAAGAACCCAAGAAATAGCATGAGATGAATCATTAGATTTAATTGTGTAAATACCTGCGAAAGATGGCTTGATCTTCCCATCCTTGATGGCTTGCAGATATTCCGGGCAGCTTCTCTTCCAATGCCCTATTTTGTGGCAATGGTGGCACTCTGCCTCCTTTGGGTTTGGGTTGGGCTTAGCAGGATCAACCTTGGTCCCACTAGAAGAGGAACCATTTGGGACTTTCCTTTGTGGTGGTTCTTTGAAAAAGCCTTCCTCTTCTTGCCCCTTCCTGTCCAATAGCCAAAACAGGAGCAACGGGTGGATTGGGAGTTGGTGCAACAGACTTGTCCTTGAGGTTGCTCTCAGCAGTCCTCAGGAGCCCTTGGAGTTTGCTTAGGGTGACCTCTTCCTTGTTCATGTGGTAGGTCATCCTAAATTGGTTGTAGCATGAGGGCAAGGAGTGAAGAACAATGTCGATAGCCAAATCTTCCCCAAAGTTGACATTCAACTTGCGAAGACGATCAACATACCTTTGCATCTTTTGCAAGTGCACAGTAAGAGACTCTCCACTTCCCATTTTAGCAGTAATCATATTCGTTATGATTTCATAGCGCTCTTGCCTCGCGCTTTGGTGATACCTCTCCATCAAGTCTAGATGCATCTCATAAGGATACATGTCCTCATAGGACTTTTGGAATTCTGAGTTCATTATGGCTATCATGATGCAATGGACCTTCGTTGCATCACGCTCATGGTTCTCAAAGACAGCCATTTCTTCAGGAGTAGCAGTTTCTGGATTGATCTTTTCGAGCTTCTCATCGAGAACATACTCTTTGTCCTCGTAACGCGCGATTGTGCGAATGTATCTTATCCATTCGCTAAAGTTCGTTCCATCGAATGTCACTTTTTGACAAAGGCTCATTAAAGGAAATGAGCTAGCAGCTGCGTTGTTTGCGTTAGACATCTACAAATAGAAAGAACAAAGTTTGATTAGATTAAGTCCCTAATTAACACCCAAAATGAAAATTAGGGCTAGGACCCAACAACGTTATTTACACATTAGAAAAGGGATGCCGTAATCCAATATGCAAATAATTTGGAGGTAAGTGAATGACGATTCACTAATTCTTCACCATAAAACATAAGCTTTAAGTTTTTAAGTGTATTGAGAATTCCTAGATTTCTTTGAGATTCATTGAACCTTTCAATGGCATGTTTAAATCTCGATATGCCCCTCTCGTTTGTGACTGGGATGCCGAGGATCACAAAGTGGGTGTGAATAACCATGCAAATGTACAAGGCGCCCCCACTGTTACAGTTACCTATTCAATGTGCTGGTTAACCACACACGCTCCATTGAACTATAACAAACAATGAGTCACCCTTTGCCACCTTTGCTTAGAACCCAATTAATGTGCCGGTTAACCACACGCGCTCCATTAATGTCTTAGCAAGGGTGCAAAGTGTAATTTCATGGGATTGCATCAATTCACTTTTCCTAAAGTAACTAAGATTGGGAATTTTATAAAACTTGTTTAGTTACTTTATATAGATTCATTATACTTATTAATGAGAGGAGGTTTTGCCCTATCCTACCCGTTCGGCTAACGACCCTCCACCAGTCAAGCAAGCGGTGGGTGTGAATGTACACCCATTAAGCGCCATTTTATAGGCAGCAACCTTATACCCACCTTATAGACCGGCTTCGTGAATGAGGCCTACTAACGGTAAGACTAGCATTGTAAATCATACATATATATATATATATATGTATATATATATATATATATATTATATATATATATATATTAGGCTTGTAATAATATAATAGTATAGGGTTGAATTTTAAACTTGTAAAATTCTAGGGATTGAAATTTAAATTATCCAAATTAAACTTTTAATCACAAATTTAAAATTTCAAAGCTTGAGGACAAGTCTTTGAACCTTTTCAAAGCATAAGGATCAAATAGCAAATAATATAAATCATCTAATTAGATTATCTCAATTTGATCTTATTTAATGTTACTTGCAAAACAATTTACCAATTCAATTCAAATAATCAACAATTATCATATAAGGAAATTATTATTCAACTAATTGGTAATTATCTTTTGTTAGGTCAAGTATATACTCATATATATGATTAAAATCGGATTTTAATGACCCAAAACAGTTAAGGCAAGTATCCTCAAGTAAAACAGCAAGAAATTCCGAAACTTCCTCCTTCTGACGCTCGAACTCGCCGAGTACCTCTATGGACTCGCCGAGTTGGAGCTACTCGCCGAGTCCACAGTGGAACTCACCGAGTACAGCAGTCCGAATCACAAAATCGAATTTTTTCAAGCAACAAGCAATCAACCAATGCATCAATTCAATAGAAATCAATCAAAGCTCTGATACCACTGATGGGTTTGAGCCATAAGAACTTTCCTATGTGCACATGCAAACCCTAATTGCTTGGATCTAGGTTTCTCTAATTGAACATGCATTGAATCCAAGACTTGCAATACTAGATCTAATGTAATATATTGAATCTAATCATATGAAATCAGATCTGAAAGAATACCTTGAATTACTTGCTTGATACTTCTTCTTCTTGGAGCTTAGAGTCACAATTGTCACTCCTCTAATGGATTACAAACACCAACTAGCAAGAAGATGATCTTGAGAGAGAGAGGAGGGATATAAATCGGCCCTAGGGTTCCTTGGCTTGCAAGAGTGTCGATTTCTCCACCACAAGGGGTTCTATTTATACTATGAGCTATTAGGGTTTCTCCTTTAACCCTAATTGAATGACTTAGGCCCTAAGCAATCCAAGATCCTTCTAGATACAAGGCTTGGACGAATTTAAGGTTCCCAAACCCTAAATTTCGTCCACCCCAATATCCATAAGGATACATAGCCCAAAATACAACTATCACACATTTGACAGTTTATGCCCTTTATTCAATTAACCTCTTTAAGTCACCAAATTAATTCTCAATTAATATATGACTTATATTAATCAAATAATATTATCATTCCTTAAATATATATATTATTCTCATAATATATTAATAATATCTCTTCTCTCTTAACAAATCATCCTGTCAAGTTGCTATGGTGAAGGCAACCCAAAAGGACCATGCATAACCGGGTCAAGTACTTACCAAATATAGTTACAGCCTTAGACACTAATCCAACATTTACGACACGCATTTACGATGCGCAGTTATGACACACAATGCGTATCAAGGAAGGCCCTGTCATAAAGGAAGACGACACGCGTTTGCGTGTCGTAACCTTACGACGCACGTTTTTATGACACACAAAGCGTATCAAGGAAGCCCATGTCATAAAGGAAGACGACACACCATTGCGTGTCGTAACATTACGACGCGCCTTTATGACTTGCAATGCGTATCATTAAATCTATTGTCATAAACGAAGATGACACGCATTTTCATGTCATAAATTCCAGCTGCCAGTGACTACACACCTTTACGACGTGCATTTACGACACACATTTACAACGTGAATACACATAATAAAAAAACAAATATATATACCAAAACATTCATTTTCATTTAAACGTCAAACAAGTTACCTAACAACATTACATATATGTCGAATTACCTAAGTTACACTACATGTCAAGTTACCTAAGTAACATTACTAAAAGTTAACAAAAACATGTACATGCGTGTCATAAGACTTCCTAGCATTACACCACATGTCAAAAGGCCATACCAAGCATTTCAATGTTAACCATAACATTGTTTTGTGGATACATTGTCAAAAGACCATACATATCATCAATAAATGAAGCCTGTAACAAACTCTGACCATTCTTCACGTATCTCGTCGATATCATCAGTTGTGTACTCAACTTTGCCATCCCCAAGCTGTGAAAAAATTTGCATATTGTTTTTATTAATAAAAAATAGCATATTAACATATTCTATAACAGTAAGTTGCTATATTTAACAAATAAGCATAAAATGTAAATTATTCTTTCTTAATAGAGCATTGTACTTTCAAATGAATGAAATCACATTGTTATTTTTGCATGTAACCTAATATTTCAATTATAATTGTGAGAGTAGGATGCCACAAAATGATCCTTTTTCATTTCCTTTCCTATTAAATTCAAGTAAAGAAAGTAGAATGCTATATCCTTACATTGTCTTTGACCAACACTTCAATTCCTTCTTCCACTATCTCCTTCATGAACCTTAGCATGTAGTAGCCACATTCGGTAGACCCGGGCTGAACTGGACACTACACAATTACATATAAAATGATCATTGCAATTGCTCCAAAAAATAAAGTTAAAACTGCAATTTCGATAAGGAATTAAGTGCTGACCGTAACATTAACCCAATTTAGTTTAACCCTTTTGTTGGATCCACTTTGTGTAGCGTACAGAACCATTGCCCTATAAAAAACATTAACAAATAGATGTTTATTGTATTCACATCAAATGTTTTGATAATTTATATTACTTACGAATGAACAATTTCTTTCAACTGCATATTGAAATTGCCAGAACTCAAGGAATCAAGATAATAGCAAGTATCGGATTTCATGTCTAGTACACCCAATATCCAATGTCTTCTACAAAAACCACAAACAAAATTAAGTCAAATAACATAATTGCAGTCATTTTCAAAATAAAATGTCAAAATCAAACCCGGGATTGTAGGGCATAAAGATGATGTCATTGCCCTTTCTACTAGACAACCAATCTGCTAAACCTCTGCTTGCATCGTCAATATTCTTAGATTTCCCTTTACGCGTACTTGGCGAGATTAATGACGGGTTCACAAAGCAAATTCTATGATCTCTTTTTGGGGGGCCATACTTCATTTTGTTAAACAACACCCTGTTATCATACAAACACTAAATTCATTAAACAAAATTTGTTTTAAGACACAATGTTATTTAAATTAATTTTCTTGCACTTACATCATATAAGACACAATGACAACACCAGTCAGCTCATCCATTGTAAGAACAACTTCAAAATCATCCCAAGTTAAGTACGTGTAACTATCGTATCCAAAAAGATCGTTCTTACTCTGCACTTTTATAGAATCAACCTTTGTAACTTGTCCATCAGCCATCATTGTAGTCATTTTAAAAATACTACTCTTCTCAATCCTTATCCTTGTCTTCATATGTGCTCTGGTCCACATTCTTTGCAAGGTCACATTTTGTTTCTCCTTCTTTTTAATCTTCTTTTCTATTCCATCCCCTTCTTCCATATCATTCCCTTCTTCCACATCACGTGGTTCTTTTTGTCCATCAACCATTTTTCATGTCCCCTTTTCTTTCTTATTACTTCCTATTTCTTCTTTTAAAAGTGTTGCATCTTCCTTCACTGGTGTTGCATCTTTCTTCACTGGTGTTGCATGTTTTTTCATAGGTTTCGCCACCACTTTTCCTTACAAAAATTATCAAAAATACAGAATGAAACAGGAATCATTTACTGAAGCTGAAAAAGAACTCACTCAAATATCAGAAAAAATAAGAAAACCAAGGGCAAATCTGTGAAAACTTTGTATGTTTTAAATCTGTGAAAATTACCAGGTCAGAGCATCGAATAACTAAGTGTCTTGGCCAACTTAGTATGTGTCCCAGTGCATCTTTGACCTTCACAATGAACTCCTCTTCAAGTGGAATGGGTATTAAAGCTTCTCCTTGTAAAATTGTTTCCATCATAACATGAATGTTTTCATCTATTACATAAATGTAAAAAATAATTAAGATCCAATCCTCGAAAAAATGAAAATATATAAATAGTAATAATGCAAATATTTTTCAAAAAATACCCGATGCACTATACTTCATTATGGTTCCTTTAGCGACTACATTTGCAGCAAATTCAACCGCAAGAGACATGAATTCTCCTACCAAAATATAGTATGTTAGTTTGTAAAAAAAGAAAATACTTTAAATATATTTTTCATAATTGTCTTCAAGGACTTACAAGTGATTCATCCCGTGGTTCTTTTTCAACATCTTCAATGACGCCCCCTACTTGGTAACTTGCGGCTTCAGAAACATTAAGTACACCTCTTTTTAGTTTCTCCAAGTCATCTTCAAGTTTCTTGATTCGTTTATCCACTCTCTCGTTCTCAATCTCCAAGTAATACTTAATATTCTTGGGTAAATAAAAGTATTGTTGTGGCGTTATAAATTTACCCATCCCTCGTACACGCCCACGTTGTTCCTGAGTACCCAAGGCCTCTGTAAGGACATCATGTGTTCCACAAGTAACCTCTCCAAAGCTTCCCGATTTCTGTAGCTCATCCTGTAAAAAAAATTAGGACAAATGTTAGAAAAAAAAATAGGACAAAAGTTATTTTTTTATATATTTGGCATTCAATGAAACTTACAATTTTATCAACAATCATCTTTGACATCTGATTCGTATCCTCATGTCTTCAACTCTCTTTCTTTTTTCCACAACAGTGTCCTATCAATCTCCTCTTCCGTCTTGCCGGTTTCTTGCATCTAAATTATCAAGAATAACAAAGTCAATTAACAAAAATATATACAAATAAAATAATCAATACTTAGTGGGAATCATACAATGTCATTAATAAGTCTCGCATATCCTTTTCTGCTCAAACGATGATTGTATTTATGATGTGCACGAGTATTTTTAGCTTTCGTACCTTTCTCCTGCATTAGAAACATTAAAATTGTAACTACAAACTTTTAACTTTCCACTTTTTTGTAATTCTATGGGATACAAATGCATATAAGAAAAGTTTAACAAACCTCCCACTTTTTTGTAACTCTATGGGATACAAAAACTTTCCAGTCTTCTTTCTTTATAAACAGATAATCTTTCGGAGGTTTGAATAGATTTGCCTTGGGATCTTTACTTCGGTTCATAATGAACTTGGCATATAGATAATGTTTGAGGTTTCTCCACTTCTTCCCGATCGATTGGAGAGTTTGCTTCCGGCTCTTTGGGTCAACTACAAACTTTTCCTGAAACATAAAAAAGGGTTGTCCATAACCAGGGACAAAAACAGATCTGAACAGGGACAAAAATAGGGACAAAAACAGAAACAGTGGATAATATAACTTGGTTAAAAAACAGGGACAAAAACATATCTGAACAGGGACAAAAACAGGGACAAAAACATATCTGAACAGGGACAAAAACAGGGACAAAAACAGGGACAAAAACAGATCTGAACAAAGGTAATAACAGGAAGAAACAGAGACTTACCAAACAAATTGCCATAATGTGACAACCCAAAATTTCTATCTTGTACAACCATTGAGTTCAATCAAAGTCAGGCTCATTTCCACTATCTTTTAGCATTATTTAGAGCCCGTTTAAGTGTTCTAAGCCTAGTACCATCAAGGTTTGGGTTAGATATAAGTTATCTTAAGTCCTAGTATTGCATTTCGGGCCAAACACTCCTTCAAGAGGAGTGTACGGCCGTACACATAGGTGTACAGCCGTACACCCATCCATGGCAGTAAACTCTCACTTTTATAAGTGATACTTAGTCATCATTCAACACTTTCCACACCTCCAAGCCAAGAATTCGGGTTCTCTTTCTCTCTCTACTATCATCAAAACTCTCACCTAGATCTTCAAAGATGTAAGTGTTTCCTACCTTAATTTGTTGCTACATTGCTTTAACTAGTGATGAATCCATTTTTATGTTCCATAAATTTCATCTTTGGTTAGATCTTCATCTTTCACCAAGAACACCAAGAACACACACTAGTTCTTGGTGGCCGTGAACCGTCATCAAGCTTCCAAAATCGTGAGTAACTGCTTCCTATGCTAGTTATCTACTAGAAACACTTGTTATTCATCTTAAAATCGACCATCTTAGCAAGAACATGAAAGTGTACGGCCGTAAACCCTTGTACGGCCGTACACACCTCATTGGGCCATAAACCCTTCATAGGTTGGTCGTGCACACCCTAAAAGACCTCCTAAGTGAGAGTTCTTCCTCTATCAGCTAGTTAGACATGTTAACGCCTTGATTCTAACCTTGAAACACCATAAAACTCATGATCATCAAGAGTGTACGGTCGTACACCCTTTCTACGGCCGTACACCCTTGTTATGGTGATAACTTTGAACCTAGAACACTTCCTAGACACTTATTAACCATTAGAACTCTAGAACCTTTGAATCCATATGAATAAAGACCCAAATGTCACCATTCTTGGAGTGTGTATGGCCGTACACTCATTGGCCGTACACTCACTGGCCGTACACTCTCTTGAGTGGCCGCAAACCCCTTTAAGTCAATCGCATGTGATTGTAACACATAGTTTCAAGTGTTTCCTAGTCCCTAAGGGTGTTTCCTTGCATGTTAGTTGTCCAAAATATATTCTAGATCAGTAACATGCAAACTAAATAACTCTATCAAAGTCATACCACTATTTTATCTTTGAAATTTATAACTGAGAAATACCACCTCACAAACATCTCGTCCGAAATTCATTCAAGAATAGCCACTTCAAATCCACAAGTTTATTTCGTATAGACTTCCTTTACGGATGATTATCACGACACTATAGAAGTCGGATTATCATACTCTCGGAAACCAGCATAACTTAGCTTAATTAACGCTCGTGTAATACTCACTTCCATAGAATACACCTCAAGAATATTATCAGAACCATTCAGGGTAGTCCTCCAAGGCGTGGAATTTATAAGTATATAAATTCGTAAAATACAACTACCTATGACCATAGTTACTCACAAGATCGTTTCTCGTCATGCCACAGAACCATGTCTTCACAAGAAGGTAACCAACCAACCGGCGAGACACCAATTCTGCAGATAGACTTCGCTACATTTCAGGCCACGGTCACCGCCGTCGTAACAGCTGTCATGGCGCAATTCAATGCCAACAACCCAAATGAGAATGGAAACAGTTTCAACACTTCAAACCATAGCAACACACAAGGAAACCGACAAGGGCCTAGCCATGATAATACTCCAACTCACAAAACTAAGAATAATAAGCGAAAATTCTGGAGCAAAAAGGAGCGCAAGTTATCTCAAAAACTTGCCAAGAGACAACAACCTGTGGCAACTTCTACAGCCACCACATCTGCCACTCCAACACTAATGCCAGTACGGCAATATGATGGATATCTACCAGAATGCAAGAGATGCAACTTCCACCACATAGGAAGATGCCGCAAGTTGCGGTGTAAGAACTGCAACAGACAAGGACATACCACTCGTTTCTGCAGGGCACCGACACGATCAATCACCCAAGTTCTTGGCGTGGAAGTGAGTCAGTTTTGTTATAGTTGTGGCGAATCTGGACATTTCAAAAGAGATTGTCTAAGGACTAAAAATGGCAAAGAAGCTCGTTTCTGTAGGACCCCGACTCAACACATCACTTCAACTACCGATGCTAGTATAATTCAAGTATGCCATACATGTGGTGAAATGGGGCATTTCAAGAGAGACTGTCCGACGGAGAGAAATGAAGTAGGAGAAGGAGGAGTGTAACAACATGAGATATAAGAGCAACGAGGAACCCCCCTCCCTTTTTAAGATTTTGGTACGTCTTCTAAATAAAATTACTTTAAAAAATTTAATTTTATATTTATATAAGATTCAAACAGGGAAAAACATTTAAAAAGTAATTATAGTAACTCACTCATCCGATCAAGTCACAACGTTCATAAGAGAAGCAAATATCCGTACAGGTAAGCTATGATGGTTTAGTATGTATATCAGGGCTGTGCATAACTAAGAATTTGTAGACTTAGAGTGAGTGATTCCGCCTTAATTCCTGTTCCATGTCTGGTTGTGGATTTAGGGCAGAGTCACTCAGTTGACCGTCTTATTCATCTTAATTATACATAACTTGTATATACCAAGCGATCATAGAGGTACCGAGAAGAATCATAATATAAAGTATCGTGACTAGTTATCAAAGCACTTTCACTGCTAGTACTCGTTTGTTGCGGTAAAGATTTGTGGCAGTGGTAGTATCGAGAAAGCACTAGAAAGCCTACACATAATACACTGTCGAGCCCACTCCGAATACACCATCATTATAACAAACGTTTCTTTCAAATCGATCTAACACTTATTTCTATAAAGAATCCGGCGTAGTCATTCGACAGGGATTAGTGTGGTCCTCACCATACCAAGTTCGTGTGTCACGAAAACCCACCGCCTTAACCGACCGATTATCGAGACCATTGTCACTCGTAATGACAATCCGACATAGATCTCTGAATCGCCTCTTTCATATTCTAGAACCCAAAGCACTCATGCGAGGAGTACCTTACCCCCCGAAACCCTTCCGAAGTATACCCAGTAAACCCTCCAGAACTACCACTCGTCCAATGGGTCGAGTTTAAGCTTAGAGATTAACACAAGTCCATATTCAAGAGATAGACAAAAGAGTCGTGTTGATAAGAGACGAAAACCTTTGGATTTCTAGGTTGGTGACCGTGTTCTTTTGAAGGTCTCACCCAGGAAAGGCACGATACGTTTTGGAAAGCGTGGAAAGCTGAATCCGAGATACATAGGACCATTCGAGATTCCCGCTAGGATCGTTTCCATAGCATACAAACTTCGTTTACCCCGAGAACTTAGCAGCGTACATCCCATCTTCCATGTATCGAACCTAAAGAAGTGTTTATCCGACGAAACCCTTGTGACCCCTCTTGATGAGATCGAGATCAACGAGAACATTAACTTCGTGGAAGAGCCAGTAGAGATCATGGACCGAGAGGCCAATCAAACGAAACAAGGTCGTATCCCGATAGTGAAGGTTCACTGGAATGCCAAGTGAGGACCCGAATTCATTTGGGAGCGCGAAGATTCAATGAAACAGAAGTACCCTCCTCTATTTCCGAGTTCATGATTTGTATTCAGTGTCTGAATTTCGGGACGAAATTCCCTCTAACGGGGGGATGATGTGACAACCTGAAATTTCTATCTTGTACAACCATTCAATTCAATCAAAGTCAGGCTCATTTCCGCTATCTTTTAGCATTGTTTAGAGCCTGTTTAAGTGTTCTAAGCCTAGTACCATCAAGGGTTGGGTTAGAGATGAGTTATCTTAAGTCCTAGTATTGCATTTCGGGCCAAACACTCCTTCAAGAGGAGTGTATGGCCGTACACATAGGTGTACGGCCGTACACCCATGCATGGCCGTAAACTCTCACTTTTATAAGTGATAATTAGTCATCATTCAACACTTTTCACACCTCCAAGCCAAGAATTAGGGTTCTCTTTCTCTCTCTACTATCATCAAAACTCTCACCTAGATCTTCAAAGATGTAAGTGTTTCCTACCTTAATTTGTTGCTACATTGCTTTAACTAGTGATGAATCCATGTTTATATTCCATAAATTTCATCTTTGGTTAGATCTTCATCTTTCACCAAGAACACCAAGAACACACACTAGTTCTTGGTGGCCGTGAACCCTCATCAAGCTTCCAAAATCGTGAGTAATTGCTTCCTATGCTTGTTATCTACTAGAAACACTTGTTATTCATCTTAAAATCGACCATCTTAGCAAGAACATGAAGGTGTACGGCCGTACACACCTCATTGGGCCGTAAACCCTTCATAGGTTGGCTGTACACACCCTAAAAGACCTCCAAAGTGAGAGTTCTTCCTCTATCATCTAGTTAAACATGTTAAAGCCTTGATTCTAACCTTGAAACACCATAAAACTCATGATCATCAAGAGTGTACGGCCGTACACCCTTTCTACGGCCGTAGACCCTTGTTAGGGTGATAACTTTGAACCTAGAACACTTCCTAGACACTTATTAACCATTAGAATTATAGAACATTTGAATCCATATGAATCAAGACCCAAATGTCACCATTCTTGGAGTGTGTATGGCCGTACACTCATTGGCCGTACACTCTCTTGAGTGGCCGCAAACCCCTTTAAGTCAATCGCATGTGATTGTAACACATAGTTTCAAGTGTTTCCTAGTCCCTAAGGGTGTTTCCTTGCATGTTAGTTGTCCAAAACACTAATTACATGCCCATATATGCCATTATATGTCATTTAGGACTCGTTTGTGTCTCGGGAATTCATTTGTGGAACTACTCATCCTTACGAGGACCTTCATTCGAAACGCTCACTACTGGTGAGTTCATACCCTAAGCTTTTACTCTTTTTCATGTTTTCAGGGGGGAAAATACAAGCCAAACATAAATGATTTTATGTAATTTATGCAAAAGGATTTCAATAAACTTAAAATGAACACAATTGATACAATCATACAGTTTCTATACTTTTATAAAATATTTAGATATTTTATCCCTTCTGTATTATGCTGAGTATAAGGGACATTTTCAACTTACAAGCATAACCACATAATTTTCAATTCATACAAGGTTATACATACACAAACACATAAACTATAGTATGTATAGTTTGGGAATTCATACAAGGTTATACATATACAAACACACAAACTACATTAGGTATAGTTTGGGAATTCATACAAGGATATACATATACAAATACACAAACTATAATAGGTATAGTTGAGAATTCATTAAACGGTTTACCAACTTATCTTTTATAAACCTCTCCGTTATATATAAAAAGGGTTTTTCCTGTATTATTACTTGTAAAGTCGTTAATCTAGTTGGAGACACGTCCTTGGGCGCTTACAAACATAACTTAGTGGAGGACTACCCTTATGATCCAGAGTCTCCTCGAGGGAGAGCATGAGTTTGTGTATAGATCTATATGGGACTGACAATCCCGCACCTTGCTGCTAGCTACAGTAGGACCGACAGGTCTACGGGTGACAAAGTCATAAAGGATACTGGTGCCCGATTCGCGCCATATCAGTTTAGTATGGTCATAAAACTCGCCAGTAGATAACAACTATATATTTACGTAGTAATATGCTTTACATGAACAAAGATTATTTAGCATAAGTATGGAAAATACATGGTTTCTTTATGAGAAATAAAGCTACTATACATACTGGTAATAACCAAGGTTTCAAACAGAACATTTTATTCATACTAGTGATAGCTAGAGTTTTCATACAGAACATACTATACAAAGGTTTTGGGTACCAGAATGCACACACACTACGGTTGATAGTAACTAGAATACAAACTAATGTTTTTCTACACTACAACGGAATACAGTAACAAACATTCATAGTAAATTCTATAATTCCTTAGTTTAGGCATCAGGGTTACATATGGAGCATATTCGACAGACTGTGGAATGTGTGGTTTCCGCCTCATTTCCCGTTCCTTGTTTGGTTGTGGACTTAGGGAAGATCCACATAGTCAACTGTCTATTCAATATTGGTTTATATGTGACTAGCATGAACTAAGTGGTTATAGATGGAATTGATATTATCTCACTCTCACTAAAGAAAATATTGGATTTTCTTAGAAATACGCGAACATTTTCACAGAGTCATTAACAGGTTTTTATTACAAAAACATTGCTTATGAATTCACCAGCTTTTATGCTGATACTCTCTTTCAAAACCGCTTGTATTCTCAGGAAATCAGTAGACAGGTACCTCGGCATACTTTTGAGCAGACGGAGCGTATGGAGTCTCGTATTTCTTTTTATTTACTTTTGGATGTATAAAAATATGAAACAAACAGATGTAAACACTTATTATATATATATTCAATGTAATGGTTGTGTTTACTTTGATTACTATAATGAAATTGTTGTGATATATATATGATGTCATCCACCCCCGGACGTTTCCGTCGTTTCGGTTTGGGGGTGTGACACATAAACCTTCCCTTACTTCATCACTAACTTCCAACCAAGACTCATAGGTTATGGGAACCATTGTTCTTGCAACCAAACCCTTAAAAGTAGATAGTTTTGTGGCTTCCTTTCCAACTGGGACACCTTTTTTATTGTAAGTTACTACAAGTTTCACTTTATTAGCTTTTTCCTTTGTTGTCGAACCTCTTTGTTTGGAGTCCTCATCTTTATCAGAAGCTGAATCTGATTCCGTGTCACAAAAACACAACCTATTTCAACAAGATTCAAATAAAATTAAGTACATTGTTATTTGTTGCAGTTGAAAAAAAATTAATCACATTCAAAATCTGAAATAAAAATATACCAAAAACTTTATTATTCTGCAAAAAAATATTTAAACTCATATTCCCTCGCCATCCGGGAGCGTACACAAAAAATCATCATCAATGTCTAATAAAGCGGAGTCTTGTGTTAAATCAAAAGTAGCATCAAATTCCAACATATCATCAGTTTCACCATTTGATCCATACTTGTACATCCTATGTGGTGGGAATCCAACAACATGCAAATTATCATCTTGTTGATCTTGAACATAAAAAACTTGTTTGACTTGACTAGCTAATATGAAGGGTTCAGACTTCTGACCAAGCCTATCAAAGTTAACTACCGTGAATCCCAAATCATCCTTTTTTACTCCACGACTATCAACCCAATCACACATGAATACATGAATAGTAAACATGTGATAATCAAGATCCTGTATCTCCTTTATACGACCGAAGTAAGTAACATCACCATACACAGGATTGGAGTCTTTTGCATTAGCAATCTACATAGTATGTGCAACTAAAGATACTCCACTGCATTGAGTTGTTCTAGACTCATCTCGAGATGTTGTATGAAAATGATACTCATTTATGGCAAAACCGCTATATTTACTAACAGCAAAGTTAGGCCCTTTGGCCAACCAACGAACATCGTCACAAATATTTTCCCCGTTAGCCAAACGTTTTCCAACCTATTAGAAAAATATATAATTAATGTAATTCAAACAAAATAATTAAAAATATTGTAATTCTAACAAGCTTATTTTAAAAATAAACCTCTTTCTTAAACCAACTAATAAATGTCCGACTATGTTGGCTATGCAACCATGTACTATTGCGAGCGTGACGGGGGTTGAGATCCTTCAATTCCAACATATGTTGCCTGAAGTGTATTACAAGTTAGAAGAATGTTTTATATGATAGATAATGGTATAAGAGTATGCAGTTTCATGTAATTCTTACTCTATATACGGCTCCACAATAGTAGTGTTTCGTAATACATAAAGATGAGCTTGATCAAGTAACTAAGCATCTACAACATCGATTCTATCCTTTGATAAAGGCTTGCCACTGCGGATTCTTTCATCAACACATTCATGAGGATTGCCAATTGATTTCATGTTTTTTAAGTAGTCTGAACAAAATTCTAATGCCTCCTCCACCACATAACACTTTGCAATGCAACCCTCGGGTCGATGATGATTTCTTACTTACCCTTTAAGTGTTTTCATGTATCTCTCAAATGGATACATCCACCTAAAATGAGCCGGGCCACACAACCTCACCTCTCTAACTAAATGCACCATCAAGTGATTCATGACATCGAAAAATGAAGGAGGAAAGTACTTCTCTAACAAACATAATGTTAATACGATGTCACTTTGCAATTTTCCTAGCTTACTAACATCAACAACTTTACTACACAACTCATTGAAAAAATGACACAGGCTTAGGATTGTTCTCCGCACCTTCACATCTAACACCCCTTTGATTGAAAAAGGGAGAAGTTGTTGCATTAGTACATGACAATCATTAGACTTCAAACCATTCATCTTTGAAACATCATCCGACATGAGATTCTTGAAATTAGAGCAATACCCATGAGGAAATTTTATGTTAGACTTCAAACCATTCTTTTTTCTTCTTTGACTTTTCCTTCTTTGGCGTTTCCTTCTTTGACACTCCCTTCTTTGGCTTTATCTTCTTTAACTTTATCTTATTTGATCCTATCTTCTTTGACTTTATCTTCTTACCCCATGTAGTCTCAAATCCCGCCAGATAGTCATAAATATCTTCACCTGATGATGGTTGTGGCATAAATCGTGCTCATCTTGATTGTTGAAATGTTTTTTTCTTTTACGAAAAGGATGTTTAAGTGGGAGGAATCTTCTATGCCCAAGGAAGCATACTTTTTTGGACTTTGGCAACCATTGTGAACAAGTATTCTTTGAACATATCGGACAAGCATAATAACCTTTGGTAACACACCCTGAAAGATTACCATATGTGGGGAAGTCACTTATAGTCCAAAGTAATATTGCTCTTATATTGAAGTATTCTTTCTTATAAGAATCAAAAGTCTCTACGCCAGTTTCCCACAAGAGTTTTAGATTTTCTATCAATGGTGCCAAGTAGACATCAATATTGTTACCAGGTTGGTTTGGCCTAGATATCAACAGAGTCAACATCCTGAATTTTCTTGACATACACAAATAAGGGGGTAGATTATATGTTATTAGGATAACAGGCCAACAACTATGCTTGGAACTTAATGACTTGTGAGGATTGATACCATCAGCAGACAAGGCTAATCTAAGATTTTGTTTTTCTTGTCCGAATTCTTTCCACGTGTTATCAACAAGCTTCCAAGAAGGGGTATCGCGAGGATGAGTAAGCTTCCCATTATTGACCCGACCTTGCGCATGCCAAGTTAAGTCATGTCCAATTTGTGGTATTGAAAACATTCTTCTATACCATAAAACTTTTGAAGGTACGTTTTTGGTATTCTTCTTCCAACGAGATGTGCCACAAGTTGGACATTGAGAAGCATCCTTATGTTCTTTCCAGAATAGAACACAATCATTTTCACATTCGTGAATCTTCTCATATTGTAGACCTACTCCTTTTAGCAACTTCTTGGATTCATATATCGATCTAGGGATGATATTGTTTGATGGTAAGATATCTTTTAGGACACACAACAAAGCATCAAAACTAGCATCAGACCATCCAAACTGACCCTTCAAATGTTGGAATTTCAATAATCCACTAAGTGCATTATGCTTTGACCCTACATAAAGTGGCTTATCACATTCTTCAAGAAGTGATTTCAATAAATCAGATTCTTCGTCTACATATATGAAGGCATTATGTAGCATATCCTTTGTATAAATAACATCAGGAGGAATCGAATTGTTAGGGCATCTAGAATCAATCTTGGGTTGTTTTTCTCCATGGAAAGACCAAATCTTATAATTTTCATCGAAGCTGTGGGCAAACAAATGATAACGGGCATTGTCAATTGAGCGGTGACACAAATTGATACAATTTACACAAGGGCATGGAATGACATCTAACATTGGATTATTACTTCGTGCAAACTCTAGAAAAGCATTCACACCTTCATAATATGCATTTGATAATCTACTAGAGGAAATCCATGATTTATCCATTAAACATTTGTTTCCAACCTACATAATTATTTACCATTTAAAGCAACAATGATTATGCATGTATAGGGATAAAACTGTACAGGGATAAAAAAACTGTACATGGACAAAAAAACTGTACAGGGGCCAAAACTGATGCAGGGACCAAAACTGTACAGGGACAAAACTGATGCAGGGACAAAAACTGTTCAAAAACAAAACCGTCCAAGGGCCAAAATTGTACAGGGAGAAAAAAAATTGTAGAGGGGCCAAAAATGTACACAGACAAAACTGATGCAGGGACCAAAACTGTACAGGGGCCAAAATATGCAAACAGATTGAGTAAGTAGGTAAGTGGCATTATGGTTATTTTGGTATTGATACTCGTGTTCTTGCATTAATTAATATATGTGATGTAGGGGCGAAAATATGCAAACAAAACTGATACAAGGGCCAAAACTTGGTATTTATTCTTTATAATTTATATATGTGATGTTTAAAGAATACCCTTTTTACGGTTTTACCCTTGAAATGGGGCAAATAGGGTCATGTAAGTAATTTTATAAATTTATCTAAGCATTTAAATTTTAAGATCATTTTGTTTAATTTCATTTAATGGTTTTTATATTTTCTAAATGTGATTCTAGCAACACAAGGGGCAGTTTTGCTGATATCAAATACATCTGCTGCTAGACGTGTTGTTAATGCTGCATTTGATCTGCATGGGCGTGGAAAACAACTGGTTAATTAGCTTTTTCCATTATGATGATTTTACCCTTCGTGTTATTTTTTAATAAATTTTTTTAATGAAAAAAAAACATGTTGCATTGCATTCTCTTGGGAATATTTGGGAGAAACTCGCCCAGAAAACAACAAATTACTGAATGCGGATTCTGAAGAAAGCCTTAAAAGATTAATATATGAAACAACATCCAACACTCCAAAAACTTATTCCATCAGTTAGTTTTTTATTTTACAATTTAGCCCATAAGATTTGACTAGATTACACTTATGGCCCTTGAGCTCATTTTTGGTCTGTGACTTTAACCGATTTTTGCATTTTTGGTTATAATAATGTATTCATACTTGGTTTCATGTGTCAGGGACTTGTTCTCTCAGTTCTCAAACTCGAGGTTGCTGGACCATCGTTTCTAGTGGAGATATGTTCCAGACAAGATTGCTTTTTTTAAGAGTTATGTAACTCTTATACTTAATTGTTACGACTTGTATGTGATTAAGAAGTGTTTTACAGCTTGAAGAGAGTTCTTATAGAATGCTAATGAGAAGTGTAATATATATACTACATTAAGAGCTTTTAAAGGAGAAGAGTTCTAAGAAGAGTATTTTCAAATGGTTTATCATATACTAAGATACTAGTGAGTTGTGTAAATCATGATTATATCACATTCAGCCATATTTGGGTTAGTGTACAGGTAAAGAGACTAGTGGTGAAGAGATTGAGTTTTAAAGGGATTTCGAGGAAAAAATGAATTATTTTTAATATAAAATACGTGTTTGTTTATGTCATATTTGAGATGGCAAAAAGACAATGAGTCTTGAAAGTTATTGTTTAAAGTAGAAAGAAGAAGTGAATGGATCTTGTGGAGTTAAATCAAATGATTCATTAACTGAATCCAATAATAATAATATTACTAAGCCAACAGTTTGTTTGCAAAAAGAAATTCAAATTTCTAAAATGCATACACCAACACCAACACCACTCAAGGTTTATCATCATGAAAAAAGAACAACTCTAACAAATGCTATCAGCATAAAGGTGAGTGAACTAATTGCAGTTTTAAATAAGTTTTTTATGCAACCTAATTTTTTTTTGGTTATTTTCAGGATAATGTGAAGAACTTGAAAAACATATCAATCATTAATGAATGCAAAGATAAAAGGGTTGATGATGAAAAGAAATATGGTATTGTTTCAGTTTGTGAGGATAAAACTACAATGCTAAAAGTGGATGCTGATGTGGCAAAAACCGAGCCCCTTGGCAATTTTCAATTCATAGTGGATTCAAAGAGATCTGAATTATCAAAAGCTGCCCTTCGAGCTCTTTTCAACAAAAGACAAAAACTGGTTTTGTTTTTATACTTACCATATATATATATATATATATATATATATATATATATATATATATATATATATATATATATGTTGTGTAGTTTAATTCAAATGTTAATAATGCTTTTTATTATCTTTGTAGTCTAATCAACAACGGAATATAGAAGATGAGTTGAGTTTGTGTGAGAAAAAAGATTCAGGCAATCATGGAGGGTGGTACGCTCTTTTTTATTATGATTTACTATATTCTATCACTATTAGTTTAAAAATTATCCAAAACCCTTTGTTATATAGGTATAGGAGATTGTTTGGGTTTAAAACTAGAGGCTGTTATTGATTGTTGCATTGAGATTTGGAGGAGAAAAATTCTGATTTCTAATATATAATTTTGTGTTTGTTTATATATCATATTTAAGATAGTCAATCTTACACAGACACCATTACATAACTTTTAGACAAGAACCATTACTATTTAGGGAATATTTGCTAAGCTTGAGAGGATAAGGATTGAAACGTGTAGATTATGATCAACTTTAGGAATTAAAAAGGAAGCCAAAAGGTCAAAACGACAGATTTGGTCAAAAGACCAAAACTGTCAAATTGACCAAAATGCTCAAATGACTAGAAATTCTAGTTTGAGAGAATTCAACCACATTTATTTACCTATGAGAAGTTTGTGAATAAGTTCATAAATTGAAAAGGCGACCCAAATGGTCAAATTGACAGATTTGATAAAAAAAAAGGGGGTCAAAAATGTCAAAATTAACCAAAATGGTCAAATGACCAATTTTGGGAGCATAAAACTACATTATAAATATATACAATTTGGAACTTAGACAGTGATGCTTCATGAAGCTCATCTTGGGAAGTTTAAATCTGAAGTACAAAAAAAAAACACCCATGTCTATCTTTATTAAGTCCTTCTTTAAGCATTAAGTCAAAAAAAAAAACACCCATGTCTCCACTAAGTAAATAAAAAAGAAACAATTTCTTATAGTAGTAGAATACAAAGGTTGATCTACATTTTGATGTTATTTTGTCATTTAGTTGATTAAGGAACCATTTATGTATAAGATTGGTAGCCAACAAGGCTGTGGTTATATTCAGCAAGAGCTTTTGCTGTATATGCCACATCATCAAGAGACTGATATGCGTAGTTGTTTATTTTGACCAAATAAGTAGAGTAACTCAATTTTTTACTTAAAAAGTCCTCAAATTGAGTATCTTGTCTATGATTGCCATTGTTACTTCATCATGTGCTTTTTTTCTGTTATTCGGTCCCAATGGATTGATTCTTGATCTCTTACTTAATGACGCTTCTCTTTTATGAGCTTTTATTTAAAAAAAACTATTCCCAACTAAGCAAGACTTAATCACAACTTCTTTTTCTCTTTGGACATTCTAGCCTAAGACAGATAGAGAAGCAGGAGGAAACAAGGGCGTCTCTGAAGAGCAAATCCATTCAAAGATCTTTTCACCTAATGTTCTTCAAATCACCCTAGTGGATGGGCATGTAGATAAGGTAGAAATTATGAAGAAAAAGCAGACCAAATGTTCACAAGATGAAAGAAGGGGATAAAAACATTACATACAACT